ATGGGGAAGAGGCCAAAGGTTTACGGAACAATCCCTCTTCATTGAAACCTGGTGAGTCAGTCAGGATGGGCTGGGTTCTGCTGCAGTGACAAACAGCCCCCAACTCTCTGTGGCTTCAAACACAAGTTTATTTTCCCTTCATGCTACATGCTCAACGTAGGTTGTAGGGGACTTTGCTCTTCTCAGTGACTCAGAGGTCTAGGCTGATGGGGTCTTCAGATCTTAATGACATCACCATCTTAACATAAGCCTTCCAGGATTGCTACAGCAGAGAAAGAAAGAGTGGAGAACTATGATCTTGCATCTTCTTCTGCCTAGAAGTGACACACTAACCCATCGATGGTTTTTAATTTCATCTTAGGTCAGCTTCATGCCTGCTGCACCCTCCTGCTCGTTCTCCAGAAGCAGAGCTGCCAGCTGCCTGGCTCTTGCTCACAGATGCCTGAGTAAGCCCTGCCAAGTCTAGCAGAAGAGCCACCCAGCTGAACCCAGCCCAAATGGCTGACTACAGAAGTGTGAGCTAAGGTGGTTGTTTGAAACCACTAAGTTTCAGGGTGGTTTGTTATGCAGCAATAGATAACCGACACTCTGCAAGCCATTGTCCCTATTCCAGTGAAAGTGCCTCTCTGAAATGAAACTCTGAACATACCACTCCCTTGTTCAGCCTCCACTAACTCACTTGGCCTGGAGGATAACAGTCACCCCTTAGCCTTGGCATCATTCTTCCAGCCCTTGATTTCCTTGGCTGGGAACTTGGGTGAGAGAAAGGCTGCAGATGGCCAACACCTCATTGTCCTGCTTAACTTCAAGACCCAGCTTAGGTCACCTTCTTTCCTTCTTGAACTCCTCCCAGGCAGATTTGGTCACCCCACGATTACACATCTCATACTGCGGAATGATCTCTTTTCTTATTTGCCTCCCCAACATGCAGTAAGCTCCTCAAGGGTGAGTGTGCAATAAATGCTTCTTGGATCCTTGCTGCAACATCCTGCTGAGAGCCCCTGTGGCTTTGCTGGGACCCCTCCAGCGATAAGGAACCCACTGTTATCCAAGGTGGCCAGTTCTATCATGGGACAGCTCTGTGTGTCAAAAAGCTCTTCCTCAAATTAAGCCAGAATGCATTTCTCAGGAATTTTTTCCTCTTTGACTCTACCGGGGTCACACTAAGTGCATTTGTTCCTCCCTCCCCACAAGTCTTGCTCCCTGCGGGCAAGCCCCCTCAGGCCCTGTCTAGAGGGTGTGCTGTTGAGTTCTCTCACCAGTCTGATCCCTTTCTTCTGAGTTAGCCAAGAGCTGGACACAGCACTCCTCTTGGACTCTGCCCTGTTCTAAGTTAATGGGATATCACCTCCCTCATTTTAGACACTATACTCCTATTAATGCAGCTTTTAGAGCTGGCAGATATTTTGGCAGCCACAGTACACTGAGCTTCCTGTTAACTAAAATCCTGGAATGTCTTCCCCTCATACTTGCTGAGCCCCAGCTGACCCTTTGTGATACTTTTCTATCCTCTGAAGCTCCTGGAAATTAGGCCCAACTTCCTGCTCACTGCCTTAAATCCAATCCCAGCCATAGGGAGCCTCTGCCATCCTCAAGGCCACCGGGAGGGTGGGATCCTCAGCACTCGGGCCTCTTCTTTGACCGCACAGCCGGAGATCTGTCACCAGAGCCTAGTGGGCATCATGGGTCTGGACAGAGCCCTGCCCCAGAGCCCAGCTCACTGGGTCACTATAGATCAGTCTCCACCTATCTCTGGGCCTTGGTTTTCTCATCTGTAAAAAGAAGTGGTTGAACTTAATGATACTGTCTTTTTAAAGATTTTTAGTAGATTCACATGCCATAATACAGACAGATCCCTTGTAATCTTGACTCAGTTTCCCCCAACGGTAACATCGTATACAGGTATGGTATCATAGCACAACCAGGAGATTGACACTGATATGATCTTTTGCATTTTTTGCAGATTGCACCACTCTGATGCATGCTCATTTTGGTGATATTTACAGCCTCTTCTACTCGCAGGAGAAAGTGATGTTTGTTGTGTGCTTGCCGCGGGCGGGTGCCGTCCCGGGGCTTCACGCACGTGTTTGCCTTTCCTTCCCTTTCTTTGCCCATTACCTCTTTCCAAAAAGGGTATGAGGCGGCCCATTACGTCACTTAATTTTCACAACTCAACAAGGTACTACTGCCCTGCTTCCTCTTTTACAAGGGGGCTGTGAGCTTCTGTGACCCGGCCAGGCCCACACGGTGGTGGAGGGGATCAGAACACGGCCTGCCTGCCCTGGAGCCCCAGGCCCCTGTGACCTGCCACACTGTGTGGTCAGCAGCCCCATGGTGAGGCCCTTCTTGGACACGGGGCTGAGCTAGGGGATTCGGGGAGGCGTAGGGGTGCTGAGAGGGAACCCAGTGAGTGTGGAAAAAGGGGTGGGCACAGGGAGGCCCACACCGTGCCCTGCCTTGGGCACTTGGGCTGGTGGGAAAGGGGAACAGCAGGAAGGTGTGAAGGTGTGCAGAGGCCAGGGGGAGCTCAGCTGGGAGCCAAGGGTTCGAATCAGCCCTGGCTGGACTGCCAGGCCCCGGGGGCTGCGGTGGGAGCGAGGGGCAGGGAGGAACATTTCCTGGGACCACTTCCCACCTGCTCCTCTTCAAGTTTGTGACTCATCTCCGGAGAACAAGAACCTGCCTGTGGCTGTTGCAACATCAGGGAGTTTCCCGAGGCTGGGATTTGGAGGGCTTAGCGGCTCAGTCCCTGTGATGGGTGGATGGGGTGAGGGTTGGGGCAGGGGTGCACTCATTCTCCTTCCCGCTATGCACAGCAGTAAGGCGAGATGTGGCCGTTGATCCCATGATTTGGAGGCCCAGGCCAGGCCCGAGGCTGGGAGTGGAGGGGAGAAGAAGCTCCACATCTCTCTCTACTTGGCCCTTCTCAGAGAGAAAGTGGGAGCCTAAGTGGGTGCAGGAGCCAGGGATGCTGGAAGACAATTTGCTAACACATCCCTGCACCCCAGGTGTGAATGCCACAGGTGCGGCCTGAGCCTGGACCCAGGTATGGAACGTGCCACAGGTTAGTCTGTCGGTCAGACCCGCAGGAATTCAAAACTATTAGCTTCTCCCACAGCATCGATCCTTTTAACCAAGGCAGGAATTTCTCTCTCTTCAAATGGATAATTAGCCTTCCCAACACGAGGGTGACAGTTCTCCCTGTGCGCGCCGCCAGTCTCTTTCCCGCCGGGGGGCTGTGTGCCGGGCTTCGGTGAACGTGCATCAGGTGTCTGACTGATCAGAGACCGTGTTTGTAGTCTGCCGTTGAACGGCGGCCTGTGAGCCACGTTCTCTGATTTCACTGGCCAGCACATTCCTCTTGAATGTGGGATTGTTTGTCGCAAACCCCCGACAGGATTTTTATAAGCCAGAAGCTTCATGTAGGCAGAGAGAGGAGCACAGAGGGCGTGTTTGGGTCGGTTCACAGGGAGAGGGGAGAGAGCAGGAGTCTTTGTCCTTTCTAGCTCTCTGTTCCTGCCCTGTCCTGCCTGTCCTCGCCACTCTGCTGAGGAGTCTTTGCCCACTGAGTTCCTGCGTGGGGGCTGGACGTCACATTGGTGTTGGAGTCCTTCAAGCTGGGTAAATCCCACCTCTGCCCTTTGGGCAAATGCTACCTTCCTCAGCCTCCTCTTCCTCACCTGGAAAATGGACGTAATGGAGTAGACCTCACACGGGGGTTGGAAGGTTGAATGAGATGATGAGCACACTGCTCCGTGTGGCTGCTGTGTTTCTCCGCGGGGGCACCCGGCCATGCGTGTGTGACGCCGGTGGGAGGGCGCCCTGTCCTCGGGGGGCTCTGCTGCTCAGCTCCGGCTGCTGTTCACCGAGAATCCTCACAAGTATTCCTTCCTGAGCAGCCCACGGGCTCCCACCCCTGTGTTCTGGCTCTGCCCCCACCAGCCCTTCCTCGATGTCTCCTCGAATCCAGATTCCACCCTGGGTTGGAGCCCAGCTCCCAGCTGACCCCCGGCTTCCCCGACAACCTGAGTGGGGGCCCATTTCCGTTTCCTCCAGATGCTCAAGACACTGCACGTGTAGCGTGCTCGTGCCATTCCTCTTTTTTTTTGTTATGTCATAGTATTTAGATCCACGCAAGTTCCTGTGGCTAGAATCTCTCGCTATAGCGTCTCTGCGTTCCTCGAAGTTAGCCTAGAAAGCTTTGCATAGACGAGTGGAAATGTAATAAGAGACCCTCACTGGATACTTGTTTTAGTTTCCTATTGCAACTGCGACAAATGACCACAAACTCAGTAGCTTAAAACGACACGAATAAGTGCACATCTATTGGATGTTGGGCAGGGGGGAGGGGGAGG